GACAGGTGTGGCAAACAAAATAAAGTGGTGTTGCATACAGAAACAAGTGGCCTCCTTCTGGTCCTCAACGGAACACAACAGTGACCATATGTTATTTTCAATACTGCATCCTCCACATCATTCAACAACTACAGTAACTGAGTCTCATCTGGTTTCTCACCCATTTGCATTCAGGAATGCTTCAACTCTCCATATGGGACAAACTTTTTTTCCTCATATGCTGAGAAGATCCCAGGAGAATCCACCCAGGTCCTGTCGGAGGCAGCGAAGGAGAATAAGGTGTACCTGGTGGGAGGTAGGCAAACATCTGTGGCTCCAGTGATATTCAACAGTTTGACTAAGTTCAGCTCAGCTCAGCCAGAGTACATTGATAGCTGCAAGCAGGACAATGATTTTATTTCAAGTTTTGCATGTTGTGAAAATCGTCTTAATATCAAAAAGATTTTTAAGGCACTGTTTTCTTAAAACGGTCAAAATGTTTATTTTTATGGCTTACTCACCTAGACCAGTAAACATCTGAATTTCTGCTCAAATAAGTCATATTTCACAGTTCATATTAAAAGATGTGATATGCTGTGTTAAATCTTCATTTAGTTTAATATGTTCATTTAACTTTTTCATTAAAAAAACAGTCCCGTTTTATTTCACACAACAAATGGAACTTGGTGTGTGCTCATCGTACCTTTAGAAATTTAGAATTGCCTACCAAATCCATTATCTTTACCTGCTTCTTCCTTTTCGGGTCGCGGGGGTCACTGGTGCCCATATCCAGCAGTCACTGTGCGAGAGGCAGGGTCCTGGACAGGTCTCCAGTCCATCACAGGGACACCTGGACAGGTCTTCAGTCCATCACAGGGACACATAGAGACAAACGAGACAAACAACCATTCACTCTCTCACATAGGGACAATTTAGAGTTACCAATCAGCCTAACATGCATGTTTTTGGTCTGTGGGAGGAAACCGGAGTACCCGGAGAAAACCACACATGCACGGAGAGAACATGCAGACTCCATCCAGAAAGGTACCGACCGGGATTTGATCTGACGACCTGCTTTCTGAGAGGTGGCAGCTCTGCCAACTGAGCCACCGTGCTGCCCACATACCAGGTCCATACAAGAATTTCAAATTTTATTGTAAAAAAAAAGTATAAACAATCCAGAATCATCCCTGCCCCATCTAGAGCTTTAACATGTTGAATGGTATTTTCTTAAATAAGAAATGTCAAGTTGCTATTTGTAACTGCTGAGTTTAGTAGCCAAGAGGCTGCTAAAACAGAGACTGAGGATTGTTTAGTTGTGCACTGTACAAAAAAGCCTGTATCTGCGGTGATTTGGAGGAAATTGATGTCTCAGCAGGGATGACTTGAAAACTCAAAGGCAAAGTTTGATGACACCAATATTATGTTCAGGGTTTAAGGCAGACCTGGGCATTTTAAGGCCCGCAGGCCAGATACGGCCCGTTGGGCATCCCTGTCCGGCCCGCAGCCCCCCAGTCAAAAATGAAAACGTATTTTATGCGGCACATATTTTGAGTGCATCCACTTCTTTCTCTCTGCGGTTCTGCTGATCAATTACACGACACCAGTGGCCCCCCTCTTTGAATCCAGAGGTTTCTGAACCCACCTTCCAGAGTGGAGGTTTTTCTCTGACCCCCCGCTGATAATGTGAACATCTCCCGCTGAGGCTTTGTGTTAAACCACATGCACACACGCACGCACGGACAGACACTATATTTCTATCAACATGGCGGCGGACACACTGCTTTCTGAACTACGACTGATGGAATATATTTTTAATCTCGTAGTTAATCTACGTCAGATTCCAGCTGCTGTGACCGACATCTGTGTTGGAAGAGACACAGTCTGATCCAGTTCTAATGTCTCTGTTTATAGAACGAGGCTGTCAAGGCAGGCGGATATTTCACACCTCGTGCTGCACTATAACTTACTAAATGTGCTAAATAATACGTTTAACAATAATAAACAGTATTTATGTTAGTGTGAGAGATATAATGAAGCTATCTGGACATTATGTAATTCAAGTCATGTGATTTTAAACTTTGTGAAACATGTTGCATGATATTAAAGTTGAAAATGAAGACTTCAGGTTTCATTTTTATTTATTTATTCAACACCACAAACTGTATGTCACACAAACACTGATGATTAAACTGAACACACTATTAAAAACAAGTTAATCGAACCAACATTTTTCAGTCAGGTCATCTGGACAGTTTCTTTTTTTCTGCTGAAACGTTTCGCCTTCGATCCAGAAGGCTTCATCAGTCAAGGAAACACACAACAAAACTGATTCTTCCCCCAACAGCTCACTCCAAAGTGGAACAAACCAGTTAATCGAACTATAAACTGCATTAATGAACTAGACTCTGTTTTCATTCTGGATTTACTGGTCCCATGGTGTTAATCTGGCTCGTTCAGGCTGTCACTTGCTTAATGCAGCTTAAAACATTAAATGGATGGCAAAAATGAACTGAGGGGATTTTTAATTGAATAGTTCATCCAACATCCAACTTTGACGTCCTCCTGCAGTGCACCTGGGCTGAGGCACGTTCAGAACTGGTTTGTCTCTGGGCAGCAGCTTCTTCTTTCAGGAAAAATAAAAACTCAGTTGGTTGTTGTGTAATCAAAGTAAACACAAGCTAACATTATTAAGTACGTTGATTTACCTGCTGTAAATCAGCTACTGATTATCATGGAGTAAAGTCTGACATCATCCACTCGGCGACCGCTGTGGAGCTGTAAACGAAGCGGTCCTGCTTGGCATGAAATCTGTCGATTTCATATCTAAAATCCAGCTTTAACTTGTTGTTGGGATGTTGTTAGATGAGCTTTTTAGCCCAGAGGAAAGTCCTTACAGGGAGCGGGCCGAGGCAGCACGCATGCGCATTAGGTGAATGTACAAAATTCACAGCGCTAACTAATGACCCGGCATGGTAACTACAGCGGATTCACGGGGGTGGGGGTGGATTCCTCCGGTTGCATGTAAACACAAAGGTGATTTAAAGACTTCAAAATTGTTGAGAGTGAAATGCACATGGTGTCTTCTCCCTCCACTTGCAGCGTTGATAATGCACCCAGTGATGTTCAGATGGAACTCATTGACTTGCTCACAGACTCATGTTCATGTTTGTGCTGATGTTCAATGTTTTATGTTATGAGTGCTTAGTGTATATTTAGTTGATGTTTTTCTTAGTTCATATCTTAGATGTTATTACTGTTTTTCTTATACATTTTATTGTTGGATGTAACTGGGACCCCGTGTACATAATTTCGCTCCACCACATGTACCACATGAGGTGCGAATGACAATAAAGAAACTCTGACTCTCTGACTCTGACTCTGACTTGCAGTCTGACACTCTTCTGGCAAATCGCTTTGGGTCAGTCCCACTGCTCGTGTTTTACTCTTCACTCAAACAGGACAACTTTCCACACTTGAGGAGACATGCTCAAATGATCCTTGTGCTCTTCGGGTCTACATATGTATGTGAGCAGACCTTTTCAGTGATGAAGTTCAACAAATCCAGATACAGGTTTTCCATATCTGATGATCACCTCGCAGCTGCCCTGCGCATAGCCACATCAGACATTCAGCCAGATTTCAATGCACTTGTTGAAGCCCAAGACAGACTGGACTTTTCTCATTGAACAAGTAAACTGAACTATTCACATGATACTTGAATCTTTATATTCCATATAGTACTTCAGTTTTGGAGTACTTTATTTGTAGTAGAGGATTTTTATTTAAAGTACTTTGATGCTTTGTCGGTTCTTGCAGGTTTTCAAGTCATTCCAGTTTCATTTTTGTAGTTATTGTATTGTTACCTAAAGTGCTATTACTTTTTTGTGTGTACCTCTTAAGTTTTTGCCATATTTAAAGTACTTTGTGGTACTTTTTTCTATTCATTTTAATCTGATTGGAGGTACTTTTGTGTTATTCAGTCCTTTTCTTCAAGTTGCAGCACTTCAGGTCTATCAGGCCTTGCCATTACTTAAAACCACTTATTGCTCATGTATACAGTTGATCAGTTGTTTAACATAATACACACAATTTTGGTTGTGAAGAGATTAACAAATTAAAAATAAAATTAAAATGTGACAACTGTCTTTGTTTTAACCTAATAATCTAATAGAATATGTATTAATTCTCACTTCAGCCTAAACCACAATTTATTCACTTTTATAAATATTTACAGAATATTCTTATTTCTTATTACCAAAATAATCTGATTTAAGTATTTCATTATAAAAAGAGATGTAACGAGAAAACATATAATGACCCAAGATTAAATTTGAGTCATCGCTGGTTCGGCCCTCCGACACGTCAGATTTTTCATGCGGCCCCCTGAAGAAATTAATTGCCAACCCATGGTTTAAGGCAACAAATGCTGCTATCTTTCCCCCCCACTTCCCTCTTTTACAAATGACTGTCCCCTGTTACATCAAAATAAATAACGTAAAGCTGCTGGTGACAAACTGTACATGGCCCTGGTGTCGAGCCTAAAATGTTCTCTATCATTTTGCATCAACTGAGGATATGAGGAAGCCAGTTTAGTCTCTTTTGAAAATACAAACCGGATTCCAAAAAAGTTGGGACACTAAACTAATTGTGAATAAAAACTGAATGCAATGATGTGGAGGTGCCAACATCTAATATTTTATTCAGAATAGAACACAAATCACAGATCAAAAGTTTAAACTGAGAGAATGTATCATTTTAAGGGAAAAATCTGTTGTTTCCAAATTTCATGGCGTCAACAAATCCCAAAAAAGTTGGGACAAGTCCATTTTTACCACTGCGTGGCATCCCCCCTTCTTCTTCCAACACTCAACAGACATCTGGGGACAGAGGAGACCAGTTTCTCCAGTTTAGAAATAGGAATGCTCTCCCATTCATGTCTAATACAGGCCTCCAACTGTTCAATTGTCTTGGGCCTTCTTTGTCGCACCTTCCTCTTTATGATGCCCAAATGTTCTCTATAGGTGAAAGATCTGGACTGCAGGCTGGCCATTTCAGTACCCGGATCCTTCTCCTACGTAGCCATGATGTTGTGATTGCTGCAGAATGTGGTCTGGCATTATCGTGTTGAAAAATGCAGGGTCTTCCCTGAAAGAGATGACGTCTAGATGGGAGCATATGTTGTTCTAGAACCTGAACATAGTTCTCTGCATTAATGGTGCCTTTCCAGACATGCAAGCTGCCCATGCCACAAGCGCTCATGCAACCCCATACCATCAGTGATGCAGGCTTCTGAACGGAGCGTTGATAACAACT